GGAGATGTCTAGATCTCAGAGTCCCTGGAAGGTTGGCAGAAATGTTTTAGATTTAATATGTCAGGTTTAAGTGGAAAATCTCAGTAGCATGCGCCCTCTCCATCTTATATTAATTGTGTCAAGCATTCTATTTAAAATTTGAAATGGTTCCGAAGACTGTGAGTACTATCACAGCAATGGCACACAGCTTGGTGGAAAAGAAGGCAGTCTTTTCTTGGTGTAGATTTATAGGTAATAAATGCCACAGTAGAATAAAAAAATGAAAATTATTTCTAATGCTTTTTTTCATGAATTGAAATTTTTAAATCTTTTATGAAGAATAAAGTTATAAACATTGTCCCATACATTTCACACATGTAACAGTTAAAATTTTAAATATCCAACATTATGAGCAATACTAGTATTACGTGTATCTGATTCAGACATCAAACTATTAATAGTAGTTATTTTTTAAAAATCTCTTTGTAGGGGAGGAGGTTGAAGATCTTAGTCTCGTGTCTTCTGCATAATGGCAGAAGGACTTTTAAAACAAGTGATGAATAATCCCCGATCCTCTAGACCAGCCAAGAGGTGTTTAGCTGCAGGGTATTATAAGGTAGTCAGGTTGATAAAGGTAAATGCCACTCATGGCCAATTTATAAACAGATTGCACTCCAGATTTTAAAATTTTAGTCTGGGTGTGAAGGCCCATGCCTATAATCCCAGCACTTTGGGAGCCTGAGGCAGGAGGATCACTTTAGGCAAGGAATTCGAGACCAGCATGGGCAACATAGAAAGACCCTGTCTCTACAAAACAAAATTTTTTTTAACTAACTGGGCATGGTGGTGCATGCCTGTAGGCCCAGCTACTCGGGAGGCTGAGGCAGGAGGATTGCTTGAGCCCAGGAGGTCGAGGCTGCAGTGAACCACGATTGTGCCACTGCACTCCAGCCAGGACTAGATGCTGTTCCTAAAAAAAAAAAAAAGAAAGAAAGAAAGAAAATAATAACAAATAATAAACAATTTATACACATACACATTTGTATGTGTGTATTTAAACAAAGTTGAATAATGTCAGATTCTCAGAATAGCCAATATGTAGCCATGGTGGAGGCTAAGCAGAACGCATTGGTGGTGGTGGATTCAGGGAATTGGAAGAAGTGGATGAGGCTGCCAACCCTGGTAGTTTGAAAGTTAGAAGTAGAGTCTTTGGAATTGGCAGGAGCTCTAAAAATCAGGATGAAGAGCAGGATATGGTCAGAACTTTGATAGCAGCAACAGGAAAGGATTCTAGCATCTCAGGAACTGAGACCTCTTATTCCATGTCATATTGTTCTAAGAAGGGGATAGAAGCACGTAATGTATTTTCATTCATGAAATGCTCATTGAGGATCTGTTAGCTTCTAGCTGCAAAGCTAGGTGCCACCAGTACAAAGACGGGTGAGACAGTCCCTGACTTCACAATCTCATTAATCATAACAGTAGCTTCTATTTATCGAGCTTCTGCTGTACTCCAGGGCACTGGGAAAGACAGTTTACATAAACTATTTCTAATTATTAACTCCATGTCTCAGGTTGGTATAGTGAAACATAGAGACTTTACGGAATTTACAGTCACCTAACTGGTATAGATATCTCTCTTGTTTCTTGTAGATCAAATGTGAAACAGTAAATTTTTAATTTATGCATATAGATGGTAATGCTGCTGAACTTGGTAACACCGTTGACCAATTTCAACAGGCATCTTCACATGGTAGCTTGAACCATTCCCTCATCAACCAGTATTCATGCATCTGAGTTTAGTACACACAAGGACTATTTAGACATGTTGATATGTAGGGTTGAAATGAGCTGAATAGAAATCAGACATTTAGAAAGAAATAATGGTAGATTGGAGAATATTAATGATATTTGCCCACGGGACACAGAGAGGCTCAATCTATCTTGCCAGTCACTTTTCTACCCTGGGAGGTATGTGAGGGAGATGCACACATAAGGGACAATTAGAAAGGAAATGAACCCTTTATTTTCAATTGAACTTGTGTCCAAAGCTCCAATGCAAAGCACTTTACTGGTAAGCTGGCCTGTAGCCCTTGGCCCAAGCTTGAGACGTACTGGACCATTTCCCCACTCTTTAGCCAGATCCTAAGATCTAATCACTACCTGGGTGGGTTGCATGAAAGGGCAAGCAGAGGGGAGAGTGCCAGAAGGGAGAGGGTTCACACCCATATACTTGAACTTTTCACTCACAGTGTTACTAGCAGCGTGGCCTGCCAGTGTTCTGAAATGCTGCCCACTCAGAGAGAAGACACTTCTTCTCTGGGTGCTCACTCTAGCAAAGGAAGGCAGTCGAGGACTGCCCCAAGAGGCTGAGCCAGCATTGGAATCTATGTGTTTTTGACCCCAAAGGCCATGCTCCTTCAGTGATGTCTCTTCTTTCAAGATTACTGGGTCAGGAGAAAAGAACCCAGACATGGCAAAATATGACCATTTCCCATTAGCACACCATTCTTAAGTCCTAGTTTTAGTGAGCAGAATATTGTTAACAAAATGTGAATTTTGCATCATTTTCTAGAAGGTCCATAGCTGTTTTTTATACTTGGCCTCTGGTGCCTGGGCTGGCCTGGACTACGAAATAATAAGCAGGACTCCAGGTCACCTCCGGGTGAATGAAAGGCTACGTATGGTTTTACTCTGTGGAAATTTCAGGTCTTGCAGGACAGCAAACCGCCTGAAGCACATTACACAGTGGATTACCTTTTGAACTTCCACATCACCAGATTATTTTGGTTTAGGTTGTTTATAAAGCAACCCACAAAATTTCCTAGTCTGTCACAGCTCTGGAGTCACCAGAACCCTATCATTTTACCAACCCCACAGGGGCAAGCAACATCTAGGAATCTGATTTTAATCAGAGTTTCTTGATCTTCATCTGTGTGCTCACATACACACAAATTTACACATGCAAACATGCATGCACTGGGAAAAGATCTGCCCAATTTTATTAAACCCAATCTGTGGGTTTAATTTTATTCTGTGGTTTCTGTTTCAACCACAGAAAGTGAGAGAAAACTCTTTTCTCTCAGGCAGAACCTTTGGGATCCTTCAGGATATCCTCTTTGATGCCATATCTTAAAGTCTAACTCTCACTCTTTGCAAAAGTAATGTGTGTGAAACATTTGCTTAGTGTATTTCATGACAAGAAGTGATTTTACATTTTATTACAAAATTTTATTTATATTACAAAAGATGACATGTTTTTATCAGGTGCATAGATGATTTTTGTCTTTTTCTTTTTAGGTCAAATTAGTACAGCCTCTGTGTTAATAAAGTTAAGCTGTAATAGACGATTTTAATTTCTGTTTGAGCACATGCCGTTAGTTTTCTGCCTTTCCACAGCCACACTGTTTTGAGATTGAGCTTAGAAAGATTTAAATGGAAATCAGTGAAGTGGTAATTTTACAGTTTCTCCGTATATTACTCTATATACAGGGTAGACTGATTATCTCACCTGTCAAACTGCTGATACATTATTATCCATGAACTGTCCGGGTCACATGTGCTGTGACCAGGATTCTCTTCATCTCTGCTTTGTCACAGGATAAATGCTTGCCCTTCTCCTGGTTAAAGGTTTTGGAGGCTCTAAGCCTCAGTACATGCAAATTCCAGAGCTATAACAAATCTTAATGCTGCCATATTTTGAATTGAGAATGTGAGTCACATTTTCATGACGTTCCAACTTTTTAAACTAACCTCTGCCTTCTCCTGGTTTGCACTTTGTAAGTGGCTCTGCACCTCATTTGTTTGTGCACTAAATGTTTTGCAACCACTTTAGCTGCAGTGTGGGAAAAATCTTTGTTGAAAGTCGCTTTAGCAAAAAATTAAACATAATGTGTGGAATAGTTGTATAGTTGTAACATATGTCTAGAAATTTGAAATTTTTTTCCACTCAGTTCATTATGTTTCTGAAACTATGTATATGTATATGAACAGCCAGATGTATTATAGTGAATGGTGATGAAATTAAAATTTTTATTCCAAAAAACAGAAATAAGATGACTGGTATAAGCTATATTTAGAAATCATTGGATCTTTATTTTGTTAATATGCTGATGTATAGAAGCCATTTACACTTAACTAGGTAAATTCTTTAGTCTTCTTAGTTCTCCTTTGATTTAGTTTTTACATCTAGTGGTTCAAACGTTTGGAGAGGACGAGGTAGGGGTTCAGGCAGTCTTTGTGTGCCTGTTTTCCCAGGAGTTTCAGTATACAGACCCTAAAGAATTATCTGGGTTTATAGATCAGAAGGTAACAATTGCTCCATTGATTTTCAAAAGGCATGGAATCCTGTAGGCAGAACCCCATTAGGCTGTGCCCATAAAGGAACCAGCAGCTTTTCACTAGTGTACTTGTTGAAGGTTACCAGGCTTGATAGTACCAAATTTCAAAAGCTGGCAAAGTTAAGAATAAGCAAAAGTAGCAACAATGGTCCAGTGACTTTGGCTTACTATTGTTTGGGCTTTTTGTAGACCAAGCATCAAAGGAAATTTTCTTCTGAAGGAATGATTTGAGATATAGTGCAGCTGAATTGTGTGTTGTGTTTAAGTTTCAGATTACAGAAACAATCACAAATTAATTCCTAGCAAGCAGCGTGACATTATAGCTACCCCCCTCAAAAGGCATTTGGATCCTTGTCCAAGTTCATACTTTAAAATGCTATTAATCTTAAAATTACATGCAATTGTTTCATTTTGTTTTTCTTTCCCTCCTCCCAAGGGTGATTACTTACCTGTTTGCTGAAAAGGTTGCTATGGCTTTAAGATTTTAAAGGAGAACAAGAGATGAATTTGTAGAAGCAGGCTTTCATAGCAGTTAGCCTGATGATTCTGCCCTGTGTGGATTCCATTAAAGTCTTGTTCTATGGATTTATGATTCTTTTTCTCTCCCACCTTCCATAGAAAGATGTAAATCAGTATTTTGTTCCCTTTTTTCCCTTTCTCTTTATGTTTTTCCTATACCAGACTTTGAATCCTCCTCTTCCGCCACCCCCTCTCCTGGCTGCCACTGTCCTTGCCTCCACACCACCAGGCGCCGCCGCTGCTGCTGCTGCTGCTGGAATGGGACCAAGGCCCATGGCAGGATCCACTGACCAGATTGCACACTTACGGCCTCAGACTCGCCCCAGTGTGTAAGTGAGGGTGTCGTCTATTACTGCTTATGTGTTCATTTAAAACTAAGTCCAAACCTCAGAGGTCAAGAAGCACCTTTCTGACAGTGAGCTGATGACAGCGTTATGGCTCACCAAGCGGTCTGTGTCCTGCAGACTTCTACCTGGTCATGCATGTGACTAGGGAACTGCTGAGAGAAAATGAGTCTGATACATGAGCTTGCCAGGTAGCTGTCCCACTAGTGAAGAAGGCCTTTCATAGTTTAGGGAAACACACTGTTTGCTTCTTTATAACATTATGTGTGTATGAAACTGCCTCTTTTGTACAACTCCTGTTTGAACTTTTTATCTTTATTTTCATTTCTTGCATAAGAATACTAATAACAGAAAGGTATTCTGCACAAATCATATCTAGGTCTAGTTGGAGTATGAATGTAAAAAGTTTAAGGCCTCAGCAATGAGTATCCAGAAAAGTTTATCCTGTTGAGAGTTTATTTAGGGCAGAACACAGCCAGGTCTTTGTGGATCCTGCATTGTGTAATTTTATACACCAACAGTTTAGAGCACTGGTAAGAACTATAGGTTAATGTTGCCTGCATGGTTACCATGTGTTGGTGGGCACAGTCACCTTGCATCTTGGGGTTGTCTTGTATGTTTTCTGATCTGGACTTTGTTTTCCCTTGATTTTTTCAAATTTAGTCTTTTTCCCTAGAACGGAGCATACAAAAGCAGGTGTAGCTCAAGCCTCTAGGTTCAGCTTGTGTGTAGAAGCCAGCATGTTGTGCTCCCAGTGGGGTTTCATACTGTATGTTCTCATTTGGGGCTACTTCTCAAGCCTAACAAGTGCCATTTGAAGAGCACAGTTTCCCCTGTGGGTGCATAATCTCTGGTAGCAAGTTAGGCACTCTTGAAAACTGCATTAATTCTTTCACCCTATGCAAATACTATTTGGCGGGATAGTCACTTCCACACTGGGAGGAACAGGTGCTTAATCAGAAAGGCCTCTGCCTGCTTTTAAAATGTAGACAGCAAAACGTTTTTCAATGGAGAATTGTCAATGCTACTTATAGATTAAAGGATTATACTTTCAGTTTACATTTGTACAAAATGTTCAACACTTTGTACCAAGGAAGAGTTTTGAGCATCTTGGGATTTGTCTGTTACTCAGCCTGAAACCAAATATTATTTTCTATTCTAGGTATGTTGCTATATATCCATACACTCCTCGGAAAGAGGATGAACTAGAGCTGAGAAAAGGGGAGATGTTTTTAGTGTTTGAGCGCTGCCAGGATGGCTGGTTCAAAGGGACATCCATGCATACCAGCAAGATAGGGGTTTTCCCTGGCAATTATGTGGCACCAGTCACAAGGTATGGTTTTGAATAAATTGTTTACTATGTTCTAAACAGAGAAGCTTTGTTCTTTTCCATGATTTTCAGCCTATCCAGATTCCTTTCCCATTATAATTGCCTGTTACATAGCCAAAGTTTTAAAAATCCATGTCTACATCTGCTAAAATCCCTTCTAACTCTAAAATTTTTAGCTTGCTTTTCACATGCATATATGTGAAATTACAGGTTTCTACCAGTAAATGTACCGGGTTTTAAGTTATTTGCTTTAATGTGAAAAGGTTCAACAGCACCATTTTCAGTATTTTTCTACTAGGAAAGGCGTAGTGTTGATACAAAGAAAAGCTATAGTGTTAATACTTAGGTGTTTATATAATGCGTACTGTATGCCAGGCAGGCAGCTTTGTAAACGCTGATTCACCTTAATTCTTCGCTGCTGTTACATTGAGGCACAGAGATATCATACAGCTTGTCTGAGATCACATAGTGAAGAAGTGCTCAAACCTGAACCCTGGTGCTTTAGATTTCTATCTGTTTCATTAACTTGGTAATTACCTCTGAATTCTGACAATGAATTCTATCATATAGTCAGAAGTATAGCATAGACCCTTCTCAACTGAGGGCAGTTTTGCTCCCCAGGGAACATTTGACCATATCCAGAAATATTTTTGATTGTCATAACTGGAGGTTGGGGGTGCTACTGGCTTTAGTGGATAGAGGCTAAGAGTGAAACGTCCTATACATAGGACAGCCTCCCACAAAAAATAATCATAATCTGGCCTAAAATGTCACTGAGGTTGAGAAACCCTGTTACAGAGTAACAGAAGCTTTAGATATGCAAAACTTTATACATTTCATGTAAAGATAGTTCAACTTTTGGTCACTCAGGGAAGAAGCCTTGGAAATAGAATTAAATGACCTGTAATGAAATCAACACTGGGGGAGCCGTAGTTTTTGACCACCAGACATTTAATATACAGTCCAGGTTTAACTGCATTAAATCATTCCTCAAACCCCCTGATTTTAAACAAACAGCTTAATGAACTGACATGTTTGTCAGCTGTTGGCCTTGATTTATAGGTTGGCCAGCAGCCTAATCAAATGAAAATCACTATTGTTGCAGATGGTGACAGAATGTTAACTTTAATTTGACTTGCAAATTTTTAATCAATATAAACATTGTTTTATGTGTATGTTAAAATCTACATTCAGAATCCATCCCATCCAGAAAATGGCAGATAGAACCTCCCTGGTGCAAAATAATGATAATAATAGATAAGAGAAATGCGACAAATAACAAAAAAAATAAAGTGAATGAAGGAAAACATTTTTATAAAATACTTTTTATTAAAAATTTTTGTCAAAAACCAGTTATTAGAAGTCTCTCTGCTTGTATAGCCGGGTGCAGTGGCTCACACCTGTAATCCCAGCCCTTCTGGAGGCCAAGGTAGGCGGATCATTGAGGTAAGGAGTTGATCACTTCAGGCCTGACCAACAAGGTGAAACCCCATCTCTACTAAAAAAAAAAAAAAAAAACACAAAAAAAACAAATATTAGCGGGGAATGGTGGCCTGTGCCTATAGACCCAGCTACTTTGGAGGTTGAGGCAGAAGAATCACTTGAACCTGGGAGGCAGAGGCTGCAGTGAACCGAGATCACGCCACTCAGTCCAGCCTGGGCGGCAGAGCAAGACTCCATCTCAAGGGGGGGAAAAAAAAAGTCTCTCTGCTTGTTTAACTCTAGAGGAACATGTGCTTACAGTAAATTCTGTCATTCACGGTAAATAATAAGGATGTTCAAGTTAAGGAAGTGTTTTCTTAGTAGAAAGTTACTATATACAGAATTGTTATCATTTAAATGAATTTGGAATATGAAAAAAATACATTACACAAAACTACACTGAGCTTAATTACATTCAGTGAGTAAATAGATGTTTAAAGTTGGCTATAACCCGGTACATGTGCAAATACAGGATGAATACAGAAGAGTTATGTCGCACTGGCCCTGCCTTCAAGGAACTTACCAAGTCAGCAGTATTTGATAAAGAATTTATTAAAAAATAAATACACCGGCCAGGTGCATTGGCTTACACCTGTAATCCCAGCACTTTGGGAGGGTGAGGTGGGCGGATCACCTGAGGTCTGGAATTCGAGACCAGCCTGGTCAACATAGGGAAACCCCACCTCTACTAAGAACAGAAGAAAGTAGCAGGGCATGGTGGCGCATGCCTGTACTCCTAGCTACTTGGGAGGCTTAGACAGGAGAATCACTTGAACCTGGGAGACAGAGGGGTAAGCCGAGAGTGCGCCACTCCACTCCAGCTTGGGCAACAGAGTGAGACTCTGTCTCAAAAAATAGTAATAATAATAACATACCACATTTTGTAATCAAGGACCAAAGCATAAACAATTGTGGAGTTTAGAAACAGGATGAAAGAAGAAATCCACGTGAAACAATAGAATCGTAAGATCTTAAACCTGAATCTGAGGCAAGGCTTCTTGAACTGACAGCGTTCGTGCTGGGTCTTGAACATAAATGAGATTACGATATGTCAAGAGAAGACGGAAAGGACATTCCACTAGTGCGTGTATATGTGTGCATGCATGTACACGGGCACATGTGTGATGTGGAGCTGGAGGCAAGTAGGAAGCCAGGAGACAGGAGCAAAGATGTGGAAATGGGAATATAGTCAGGGAATGATCCTAGCTTGCTCTGTAGATGAAGTGGGAGAATCCAGGGCCTTGAAAGTCAGCAGAGATATTTGGTCTTGTTATGGAAAGCTGAACGCAGTAACTGTGTATTCTTGAGCAGAGTATGACGTGTGGTTTCTGGTGATTCAGAATATATTTCAAGACCTTTCTCTGTCTCAGAGCCATCGTTACTTTGAATTTTCTATTCTTAAACTTTATAAAAATAATTCATTCATTTTTTAAAATGTTCTGTGTTTAAAGCTCTGAGTCATTTTTCTTGCGTTTAATTGTTCTTTCCCTCATTTTGCTGATGGATCGGACTTTCCATTTATGTTTCTGTTTTGGCAGGGCGGTGACAAATGCTTCCCAAGCTAAAGTCCCTATGTGTACAGCTGGCCAGACTAGTCGGGGGGTGACCATGGTCAGTCCTTCCACGGCAGGAGGGCCTGCCCAGAAGCTCCAGGGAAATGGTGTGGCTGGGAGTCCCAGTGTTGTCCCCACGGCTGTGGTATCAGCAGCTCACATCCAGACAAGTCCTCAGGCCAAGGTCTTGTTGCACATGACTGGGCAAATGACAGTCAACCAGGCCCGCAATGCTGTGAGGACAGGTAAGGAGGAACCCAGGACAGAACATACCAGGATAAAAGGCTTACCTGCCTAATAGTAGATCTTTTATAACAGATGTTGAGAAATGTAGATGTAATTAAAATAATGAACAACATTAGGCACAGTCTACTCAGTGGAACCTTGTATCTATTTATTTGGGCTAAGCGTGTCCTGCATATTACTTCAAACCTGATGGGTAAATCTAAAATCTGAAAGAAATTAGGCTGATCCTAAGAATGTCAATAGTACTTGAAATTTTGACCTCTATAGTTGAAATCTTATGACTTCAAATCTCACTACTACCATTCATGTGACATTGTGTGATACTCTACTAACGAGTGTGCTGATTATTTCTGATTAACTTAAGCACAAGTCTACTTTGGATCCTATGGGATCTTAAACAGCTTTCATAGTTCTGTAGCACTGAAAACCTTCCCAAGAGTCTCGGGTAACTAATGGGATGAGGGGTAAACTAAGGGTTTGCGAGCTCTATCAGAAAAACAGAAAGAAGGAAAATGATTAATAAGAAAAGGGAATGAATAATAGGAAAAGGACTAGAGGGAGACATGGCTTGACACTGTAGAATGCCATCAAAAACTGGCTCAGTGTGGCTAACACTGTGGAGGGGCTGTCTCCTAAGTAAAAGAACTGAGCTTCCAGGCACTCAGTAGACTCAAGGACTGACCTGGAAGGACAATAGATAGTGTCTAGGAATCCAGCTAAGATTAAGTGCTTTTAGGCTACCATCCATCCCATCTTTATTGTAATAAATATAGTAGCAGCCTTTTATCATGGTCTGATGCAGTGAAATGACTCATGTTTTGTTGAGCAGCATCTATTAGATAGTTGAATTTTGCTGTGTTCCCTCTTTCCATCTACTAGTTGCAGCGCACAACCAGGAGCGCCCCACGGCAGCAGTGACACCCATCCAGGTACAGAATGCCACCGGCCTCGGCCCTGCATCTGTGGGCCTGCCCCATCACTCGCTGGCCTCCCCACAACCTGCGCCTCCGATGCCAAGCTCAGCCACGCACACTGCTGCCATCAGTATCAGTCGAGCCAGTGCCCCTCTGGCCTGTGCAGCAGCTGCTCCGCTGACCTCCCAGAGCATCACCAGTGCTTCTCTGGAGGCTGAGCCCAGTGGCCGGATAGTGACTGTTCTCCCTGGACTCCCCACGTCTCCTGACAGTGCTTCATCAGCTTGTGGGAACAGTTCAGCAACCAAACCAGACAAGGATGGCAAAGTAAGACCTTACTTACTTACTGTTTCTCTGCTTTACTTACTTCCCAGTTTTTTTCCTTATGTTGTGTCTGTCATTTTTAGCTAATGAGAAGAGTCATTGTTCAACAAACCCTCAGGTGCTCCCCACGTGTGAGTCACTATGCCAGGTGCTAGGAGTAGAGTGGGGAAGAAACGCAGGCACCACCCCATCCTCTTATCTGGAGCTCATGTTTCTCTGTGTTTAAACACCCACTAGTTGCCACGCCCTGTGCTGCAGGTTAGAAGGACCACAGTGAATGACACTTAGTCACTCCTCCATGTGCAGCTTAGTCTTGTGGAGGAATTTCCTTTTGCCTTTAGTTACTCATTCTTTCATCATTTTGCCATCCTCAAGTCTTCCTGCTCAGTGAGTCTTGCTTGGTAAGAGTTCTGGTAAAAATATATATATGTGAGGGGGATGAAACTGTTGATCAAAAGTGTTATTTATGGATTTATTTTATCTATAGCAGTGGTCCCCAACCTTTTGGGCACCATAGACCAGTTTTGTTGAAGACTGTTTTTCCATGGACCCAGGGGTGGTGGTGGGGAAATGGTTTCAGAGTGATTCAAGCTCATTACATTAAGTGTGCACTTTATTTCTATTATTATTATACTGTACTATATAATGAAATACAATTCACCATAATGTAGAATTAGTGGGAGTCCTGAGTTTGTTTTCTTGCAACTACGTGGTCCCACCTGGGCGTGATGGTAGACGGTGACAGATCGTCAGGCATTAGATTATCATAAGGAGTGTGCAGGCTACATCCCTCGCATGTGCAGTTCACAACAGGGTTCATGCTCCTGTGAGAATCTAATGCCCCTGCTGATCTGACAGGAGGCGGAGCTCAGGCAGTAATGCGAGTGATGGGGAGCAGCTGTAAATACAGATGAAGCCGCACTCGCTCACCTGCCGCTCACCCCCTGCCGTGCAGCCTGGTCCCTAACAGGCCACAGGCTAGTACTGGCCCATGGCCCAGTACATCTGACCTTAAGCAGCATGGTTCCTTGAGAGGTAAAACTTGAAATATAAGGAAACATTATTTTCTAAATCCATAGGTTGTTTTTTTTTTTTTTAATGTCTCATTTGGGGCTGAATTTTAAAGAAAATATAGATGAAAAGTTATATTGGAAAGAATAACCTACGGTTGGGTTTAGAGACAGGTGATTGGAGGTAAGAGAAATTGAGAGTGGTTAAATGTAAAAAGAAAAAGAAGAGATGGTAACAGATCTGGATAATTTTATTGTCATCATTACTTTTTCCTCAATATTTTACACATTTCCCCTGAAGCTCTATACCAGTTCTGGGAAGTTTGAGGGAGGGTGATCATAGACTTTTGGCCACCTGGTTAAGTGGTAATGTATGTCATTCTATTTAAATGGTTAAGGGAGCCTGTAAATAGCGGTTTATAAGGAAATAAACTTTATGGCCTACTAAAAAGTTAATATTTAATTGTTGGGTTAACATGAGAGTTTTTGAAAAAGATTGGTATCTGTTCAGTGTTTATAATTAACTACATTAAACTTGCACTCAAGCCAATATGTTCAACTTTGTTAATATACTTATAAATAATTATTTTTACGGTTTAGATTTTAAGGCTTGGGGACAATGTATCTCAGAGCCTGTGCCACTGATAAGAACAGGGACTCTTCAGCTGGGCCCTTCCAATGTAGAATTCACTTAACCTCTGAGGCTTTAAAGGTCCTTGTGATAGACAGAATAGTGACTCCCCAAGGATGTCCACCTCCTGATCCCTGGAACCTTTAAAGATGTTTCATTACATGGCCACAAGGACCTTGCAGGTGTTATTAAATTAAGAGCCCTTTGACAAGGGGGTTATCCTGAATTATCCAGGTGGGCCCAATGTAAACACAAGGATGTTCTTAAAAGGGAGGCAGGAAGCTCGGGGCCAGAGAAGGAGACGTGATGGTGAAGCAGAGGTAGGAATGATAGGAAAATGAGGCCACAGGCCAAGGAATACAGGAAGCCTCTAGAATCTGGAAAAAACAAGGGAACAGATTCTTCCCCAGCGGCTTCCAAAAGGAACCAGCCCTGCCAACACCTTGATTTTAGGACCGGATTTTTACCACAAAGTTTGAGTTAACCTGTTACAGCACCATCTAGTACAGGTCCTTACTGGTCATCCTGTGGAGCACCCTTCCCTGACAAACGGCCATGGCTTCTGCCCGGGTGCGTGCCCCATTGACCAAGCAGTGCCCTAGGCCAAGACTGCCCTGTGCCATCTTCAGTCAGCTGTAACTCAACTCAACCTTCCAACCATTGTTCTTTATTTTGAGGGCCCACATAGAAAATGCAGATCTCCTTTCTACATGGTGCCCTGAGGTATTTGCAGGTTTGTCCCCTTGTGTCTTTTCTCTAATGCTATACTCTTGAAGTTTTATTTACCTAGTCCCCATATCACAGATTTCAAGTTTTCCCTTATGAACTCTCCTACCTCATTTAATGTTCCAAATCCACTAAAGAGACTTCTGGTTGATATAAATTTAGGAATTCCATGATTCTTGTCACTTAATCATGAATCTTCATGACTAGAGTGTCTTTATATACGTTTCTCCATCATATCTACAAGGATGTCCTGGGAGAAGTCACCAGATGCCACATTGATTTTACATCATCCTCCCATCCACAGAGTTCTCCCCATTGCCCCATCATTTCTGCAGTGACTTATTGTTAGCGGGTATCTCCTGGAAGAGTTTTATTTCCCTTTCTAAATGTTCATAAATCTTTTGTTTAATACTCTTTTAGAATTTTCCCAGATGGTCTGCAAAGTGCTTTGTTGTCATGTGTTTGAAAATTGGGGCCGGGCGTGGTGGCTCACACCTGTAATCCCAGCCCTTTGGGAAGCCAAGGTCAGGAGTTTGAGACCAGCCTGGCCAACACAGTGAAACCCTGTCTCTACTAAAAATACAAAAATTAGCTGGGCATGGTGGCACATGCCTGTAATCCCAGCTACTCAGGAGGCTGAGGCTGGAGAATCGCTTGAACCAGGGAGTCAGAGGTTGCAGTGAGCCAAGATCACACCACTGCACTCCAGCCTGGGCAACAGAGTGAGACTCTGTCTCGGGGAAAAAAAAAGAAAATTGGGACTTGCACGTGCCCTTTCTTGCCTGTTCAGTTGACCCTCATTCCAGATTCACCAGACTATCAAAGGTTATTGGTTGCATTTCTGCTGCTATTTTTCTCTGTACACTGGAGTGAATTCAGCCTGTTAAGAGTAGTCATTTGATCTCTAAATCCCAACTCTTCACTCATTTCCCTCTTGTCAAAGTTTGTTCTTCCCTTCCAGTCTAAAGATTATCCTTCCCTTTCTTCTTGCCATCCAAGAACCACCATCCTCCACAGCAGGTCTGTGTCTTTCTTGTTCTTCTTGTTTCAAACATAACTTTAAAAGAGCTCTTAAAAAAATTTTTTTTGTCTTTAGCATTTTTGCAAGTTTAAGCTCATTCTGATCTTTAAGCCTTCTTGAATTGCTATGGGCCACGTTATGTTCTTTGTTATGGGCTCTTCTCTTGATCTTTTTGTACGTGCCCTTTAAAAAACTGAGCCATTAGGCTGCTCCCTGGGAGATCACATCAATACCTTTAGATGCCTCTATGTTTTCATCTGCAGGGATGATTTGCAATTGTATGGTTAGAATTTCATTTTTGAGAGCCTTCCTATTCCTCTTGAAGCATCTTCCCTTTTGAGTTTCGGGTCATGCATATATTTTCTTTGAACATTTAAAAACCAATTCTTTTAAACTATAAAGTTCAAACCTGACTATCACCAGCCTCTTTTTCCATGCTTTATTCCAAGTTCTCGATACTTCTGCTTCATCAGCAGAACATCTCCACCTCTCTCTGGTTTCTGCCCTCCCTCTAGTTGATCAGAATTAGATCCAAAGTTGTAGTTTGCTCAACTTTCTGTGAGATTAAACTGTCAGCAAGGAAAAACTGTGTTAGAGATCCTAGTTTTAGTTGAGACTTACAGCAGATATCTAGGTATTTGATAACGTCCTCATTATTTCTCTTTCCTCATCATACTGTGAGCATCGTCATCCATTTACTTAAACCTATCAGCAATGCATGGTGCATCCCCCACATGATAGTGTGCCTACTGCCCCTCCTGTTCTCTGTACCCAGCTGCTCTGCAGTGGGCTACTGCTGCTGTTTCACAGAGAAATATAATTTTATAATGTACAGATGGGACTGACGCAGCTTCTCTTCTAACCGGCTACTCTTCGGAATAGTATTTTATTTGGAAGTCCTGTTGCACAAAGTCTCAGGGATCTCTAGACACTGCGTTTTTGTCCTTGTGTTAAAATCTCTAGCTAACTTTGGTGTCTGTACTCTGTGGTTTGATAAACAGGCATCTGAAACTCTGTTTCATCTCAGTTCTCTCTTGTTCGAAATCCTAGACCTTTTCTACCATTGTTATTCTTCCTTCTATGAGATCCCTAATATTTTCCACAGTCATCTGTATAACAACTTTATCTGGACATATTTCTAACTTCCTACTCAGTTCAAAGCCTTCATTATTTGATCAACTAATCTCCAGGAAAATGCGTTTCCAAATCTTTAAGAGATACTTATGTATATGTATATATGTTTTATTGGGTTTTGTTGTTATAAAAAGATTAAGGCTGGGCACAGTGGCTCACACCTATAATCCCAAAAGTTTGGGAGACCAAGGTGGGCGGATCACTTGAGGCCGGAAGTACAAGATCACCCTCAGCAATTTAGCAAAACCCTATCTCTACCAAAAAAAAAAAAAATTATTTTTAATTAGCTGGGCATGGTGATATGTGCCTGTAGTCCTAGCTACTTAGGAGGCTGAGGTGGGAGGATGGCTTTAGCCCTGGAGGTCAAGGCTGCAGTGAGCTACGTTAATGCCACTGCCCTCCAGCCTGGGTGACAGAACTAGATCTCCCAGGCTGGAGTGCCGTGGTGTGATCTCGACTCACTGCAACCTCTGCCTCCCGGGTTCAAGTAATTTTACCACCTCAGCCTCCCAAGTAGGTGGGACAACAGGCATGCACCTCCACTCGCAGCTAACTTTTGTGTTTTTAGTAGAGACAGGGCTTCACCATGTTGGTGGTCTTGAACTCCTGGCCTCAAGTGATCCCCCTGCCTTGGCCTCCCAAAGTGTTGGGATTACAGGCATGAGCCACTGTGCCTGGCCTGAAAAAAATATTTTTGATTAGTACAGTTGTGTAATTGTTCTTAAGTTCTCTAAGTTCTAACCTTACTTTAGAAAAAGAGGAGGAACCACCTCTGATGCCAATGTCTACCCCAAGTGCTTCCATTTTCTACCCATGACTTCAAAATCTCCAGCGGTGCTTTGTAAGTCTCACCTGACACTGACATTGATTCCATATGAGTCAGCAGGAGTGAGTGTTGGTCAACATGCACTCTGCCATATCCTAGATCCATTCCTAAAAGCCACCTTTCCTACAGGTGGGCCACACAAGGTCAACATTTAGTGTCTCAAATCCCCCACCCCCAAATTCCTGATGATTCTCCCTTAAGAAGCCAACCACAGATTTTCTTCAGTGTTTTAGAACCTTTCCTATTGTTCTTTTCATTTATTTATTTGTTTATTTTAAGAGATAGGGTCTTACCATGTTGCCCAAGCTAGTCTTGAACTCCTGGATTCAAGCAGTCCTTCCACCTCAGCCTCCCAAGTAACTGGGACTACAGGTTCACACCACTGCACCTGGCTTATTATTCTTGATTTTCTTATGCAGAGGTCCTATCTGGTTTTTAAATATTCATTTTATTTTCTGAACAGTTTTCTTGAAGTCTCTACTGATAATTTTTTTTCTTTCTTCCTTTATTATTAATTTTTTAAACGAGGTCTCATTCTGTCACCCAGGCTGGAGTGCAGTGGCGCAATCATACCTCACTGCAGCCTGAACTCCCAGTCTTAAGCGACCCTCCCAGCTGGGACTAAAGGCATGAGCCACCATACCTAGGTCATTTTATTTTGGTAGAGATGGGATCTTGCTGTGTTGCCCAGGTGGCTCTCAAACTCCTGGGCTCAAGCAATACTCCTGCCTGGGCCTCCCAAAATGCTGGGATTACAGGTGTAAGCCACTGTGCCCAGCCTCTAGTGATGATTTTCTTTGTTCAAATGATTTTTTCTTCCTTCTCCCAGGTGTTTTTTGTTTTGTTTTGTTTTGTTTTTGTTTTGTTTTGTTTTGTTTTTTGTTTTTGCTACAGGGTATCCCTCTATCACCCAGGCTGGAGTGCAGTGGCATGTCATAGCTCACTGCAACTTCCACCTCCAGGCTCGAGCAACCCTCCCTCCCACCCCAGGCTCCTGAGTAGGTGGGACCACAGGCATGCACCACCACACCTGGCTTTTTTCTTTGTATTTTTGTAGAGGCAGGGTTTCCCTACATTGCCCAGGCTGATCTTGAAATCCTGGGCTCAAGTGATCCTCCTGCTTCAGCCTCCCAAAGTGCTAGAATTACAGGTGTGAGCCACTATGCCCAGCCTGAATGTAGTCTTTATTAATTCATTTAGTTTTCATTTCTGCTGTTGGTTTTTGAAAAAATAATGGTGCTCGTAGATGCTAAGTGTCTGAGTTTGCAAAATGATCTCTCTCAAGTGGAACATTATTCTGCTAACAGAAAAAATCAGAATATGCCATTGAAAGCATGGTTCCTTGGAACTAGGACAGCATCTTTTCTGTATTACCACCCCCACCCCTTACCCCTTGTGCCCTGCCATGATTCCTAATCCTCTGCCTTCTGCCCTGTGGGTAGTCAGCATCAGTTGATGATGATAAGACATCCCTTAGAAGTCATTAAAGCAAGCTGTATTTAATGTGTTTAATCATTTTAAATGAATTAAGTCATCTTTCTTCTTAATCACTTCAGAGGCTGTTCCCTGAGTGCCATTGAGTTATCTGATATTTTACTGAGTGCTCAGAACTGAGCTTTTAAGAAATGGCTTTAGCTATGGCTTGCTGAGATTGTAATTTATCAATGGACTTGATGTTCTCACTGGACCTTTGTGGGTCCGTGGACTAGCGTGTGCTTTCTTACATCATGGCAAGAATAGCTGGCAGTCGCAGCTGACTGCTACCTTAGAAGTGGAAGCTACTGGACGTTATTCTTTTGCACGTCATACCTTGGACTTCCAGACCTCAGGCTCTCTACAACAAATACGGAGCAGCATTGACAGGTGCTTAGTCAGACCACTTCATTGACCATAGGCTTTATTGAAAGGCTCATCGAAAGGCTTTATTGCCTCTGGATCTGGGGAATCCAACATATCCTTTATTTCCTTAGGCCTGGCGCTAGCTATATTTTTCCTCCCTTTCACTGGTCTCATCCTCTTCCAGTATTTTCTCAGCCTCTAAGCTTTAGTGGGTGTAGGGCCCTGCACTCAACACTGGGTGAGATACAGAGGTATATACAGCACTGTCACTGCACTTATGCAGGCAGTCCAAGTTTGTGAGGACATTCATTAGAATGCACATAGTAGCCCCACAGAAAATGTGGCATTGAATGAGTGAAGCGAAAGCGCATAAGATCAGCTGAGGACAGGCTATAAAGAGAAATGCAAAAGGATCATCCTCTACCCGGGAGAGTTGCAGGGTGGTGGGGATCAGCTGGCTCTGCTCATCTGTAGCCCAGATCAAGCAAGTACAGAAATGACTTTAGCACCCACTCCCATCCTGTTTTCCCATTTCTAGCCCACAGGCTCACATGTCCTTGAGCAGCATTAGGTAACAGGGGATTATGGTGCACTGTTCCTGGGATTCTTCCTCATAGTCTGATAAATTATTGCTTTTGTCTCCTTTTTTCTGCCATACTGTCTGTAATGGAACAATGTTGTTAGGGATTTAGATTCATTTTCCCAAGGAGTTTTTACTGAGTCTAAGCTATTATTCCCAAGAAAAATTCCTCAGCAGGTCCCTTATAATTTCTATTTCCCTGTTAGTGGGCCTTAATAATTCCAATTTGCCTACAGGGTTTTCTAAAGAAATAGTTATCTATGAAGTGTTTCATGTTCAAGCAGTGCTTCCATTCAGAGGACTTAATGATGTAGTTGACATCTTAGTAAAACAATTTAAAAGGATCATGTTAAGCTTGGCCATCAGAAAGAACATTCATGCTTAAGGTTTCAGAATGAAGGAGCCATCTCTTGACATCTGATTTTCCTAGCAGACCAAAGATAGAAAGTATCAAAAGAGACAAAAATTCAAGAGATGGCTTCTGTGGAATTGTGATGGTTGAAAAAACAAACAAACAAAAAACACACTTATTTGTATATTTGCTTGTGAAAGGAGAAATCAACTTGTTTCTAAGTATACCGAAGCTTTCCTTAAAATGGATGTCTAATCAAGGAGGTACTTGCAAGGGAAATGTGGTTTGACTTCTGTTTTATTGGCTTGTTACATTTAATCGAGGTGGCGACATGTGAGAAGTGGTTTAACTCTTAACTCTGATCACTGCCTGTAAGCGATAAGGCTCACGTCCATGCCTGTGGAATAAAGTGCTGTCATGTTTACATTTAATTCTGCATGCAGTCAGCTGTCTTACAGCAATTAGAGATAGGATAGGCAGAAGTTCAGGAAGTTAAATCCATAATCTGAAATTTCCATTTTATCCTAAAATATCTACTAATGCTTTTACCAAACCCAGGATGTGAATTGGTGAGTTTTATTGTCTTACATCTTTTTTATCAGTTTGTCCTACTTCAACAGAATGTCCAAAACCAAACAAAAAATATATATTTAGCAGAAAGGGAGAAGGAGGAGAAGTAAAAGGTCAGGTTAGCACCACACACAAATTGGTGGCCAGATTATGAATAACCAATTATCAACAGAAATAATGTAAAAAGATCAAACCAAACATCGAAACCATAAGGCCCCATACACCTACTATGTACCCACAAAAATTAAAATTAAAAATTAAAAAGTAATAATGAACTATAGGGCCATTTTGATTACGCTAGCAATAGTACTGTCATTCTCCAACTAAGGCTCATTTTTTTTTCCAGAAAGAAAAAAAGGGTTTGTTGAAGTTGCTTTCTGGCGCCTCCACTAAACGGAAGCCCCGCATGTCTCCTCCAGCATCGCCAACCCTAGAAGTGGAGCTGGGCAGTGCAGAGCTTCCTCTCCAGGGAGCAGTGGGGCCCGAACTGCCACCAGGAGGTGGCCACGGCAGGGCAGGCTCTTGCCCTGTGGACGGGGATGGACCGGTCACAACTGCAGTGGCAGGAGCAGCCCTGGCCCAGGATGCTTTTCACAGGAAAGCAAGTTCCCTGGATTCCGCCGTCCCCATCGCTCCACCTCCTCGCCAGGCCTGTTCCTCCCTGGGTCCTGTCTTGAATGAGTCTAGACCTGTTGTTTGTGAAAGGTGAGTTCAACTTTGTTCCAGGAAAAAACTAAAAAATGAACAACAGGCTTTAGGCTGGAACGTTTATTGTGATATTTAAGATGTTTTGCCATATCTTCCTAACTTTTGAAACTGAGCTTATGAAAATAAGCACTGAATTTTTTTTCCCACTTGACACAACATACTCTGTTTTCCTTTTTCCTTTTTCCTTCCATGTTTCTTAATGGGTTGGTCCCCAGCCTTCCTTTTCCTTTATTTTCTCTACTCTACCATGCCAAAATTGTGTCCAGGTAAAAACTGTCAATCACTGGGAACTTGTTCATGGATTTACTTCTTTCTCGTTTCTATTCCATCGCCAGCAATCGCTCTTTTTTTTTTTAATCCTTTGCCTTTTTTATTAAAAGTTTACATTGTTTCCTGCTAGTTGTGGAGCAACTAGAGCAGGTGTGTCCAATCATTTGGCCTCCCTGGGCCACACTGAAGGAAGAATTGTCTTGGGCCACATATAAAATATACTCATATGACCGGGCATGGTGGCTCACACCTGTAATCCAGCAACATGGTAAAACCCTGTCTCTACTAAGATACAAAGAAATAGACGTGGTGGCGGGTCCCTGTAATCCCCGCTACTTGGGAGGCTGAGGCAGGAGAATCACTTGAACCCGGGAGGCAGAGGTTGTGGTGAATGGAGATTGTGCCATTGCACTCCAGCCTGGGTGACAGAGCAGGACTCCATCTCAAAAAAAAATAAAAATAATAAATATATATATACACATATATTTATAGATACTGTTAAAAATATTTTACATTACATATATATATACACACACTAACATTAATGATAGCTGATGAGCTAAAAAAAAAAAATCGCAAAAAAAATTTCACAATATTTTAAGAAAGTTTATGAATTTGTGTTGCACTGCATGCCCACGGGTTGAACAAGCTTGAATTAGAGAATTCTGTCAGCTAAGAGAACTCTCTTCTTTTTTTGAGACAGGGTCTTGCTCTGTTGCACAGGCTTCAGTGCAGTGGTGCAATCACAGCTCACTGTGGCCTCAACATCCTGGGCTCAAGTGATCCCCCCACCTCAGCTTCCTGAGTGGCTGGGACCGCAAGCCTGTGCCACCATTCCCAGCAATTTTTTATTTTGTATTTTTTTGTAAAGACGGGGTCTCCCATGTTGCCCAGGCTAGTCTTGAACTCCTGGACTCAAGCCATTCTCCTGCCCTGGCCTTCCAAAGTGCTGGGATTACAGGCATGAGCCACCATGCCTAGTGAAGAACTCTCTTCTTCTTCCTGAGCCAGAAGAGGATGGCTAAGTTCTCAGTCTCAGTTCTGACTCTCCTCCTGACCAAGTGACTTGATTCAGTTACACTCAGAGTAATAAGCCCTGTTTCAGTGATGCCAACCTTGAATAATTATACAAAAGGGAGCAGTTCTGTTTGATACCCCACTGGGGTTCTAGGAATGTGTTAGGAAAGGAAATACATATTTAATGAGACAAATAGCTACTAGGATTATTTAAACTCAACAGTGAAGGACTATTCCTTACATTGGAAAGCATCATGAAGTATACTCAAAATAGTGGACTCTTTTTATATCACATATAAATATATAGTGTTTGTCTTAAGTATTATCTGCTTTGTGGAGGTATTGCCTTTTTGGTAGCATTTTCTGTGTTGCTGACTTGAAATCTTACTATAAAGTGTTATGTTTTTAAATGCCTTAAATTCACTTTACCTCTGTATTTCAGATGAAGCCATAGGTATATTTGTATCCACCAAAACCTGAGGCCTGCATTCATATTTTTGGCACACTTTTTTACTTAAAAATAAACTAGGAAAAATGGAAAAGAGTAAATTTCAAACCTATGTAGATTAAGTAAAAAACTTACAATTTATTTTTTTTTCATATTTTTGGCACACTTTTTTACTTAAAAATAAACTAGGAAAAATGGAAAAGGGTAAATTTCAAACCTATGTAGATTAAATACAAAGCTTACAATTTATGATTTTTTTTTTTTTGCAAGGAGAGTCTCACTCTGTTGCCCAGGCTGGAGTGTAGTGGTGCAATCTCGGCTCACTGCAACCTCCACTTCCCGAGTTCAAGTGATTCTCCTGCCTCTGCCTCCCGAGTAGCTGTGATTGCAGGCGCACACCATGCCTGGCTAATTTTTTGTGTTTTTAGTAGAGACGGGGTTTTGCCATGTTGGCCAGGCTGGTCTCGAACTCCTGAGCTCAGGCAATCCACCTGCCTTGGCCTCTCAAAGTGCTGGGATTACAGGCGTGAGCCACCAAGCCCAGCCACAATTTATGATATTTATTTTTATAGTGCTGTACAATAATTTTCTATAGTTCTAATCCACATAAAACCAGTTTTGTTTTTTTTTTTTGAGACGGAGTCTCGCTCTGTCGCCCAGGCTGGAGTGCAGTGGCCGGATCTCAGCTCACTGCAAGCTCCGCCTCCCAGGTTTATGCCATTCTCCTGCCTCAGCCTCCCGAGTAGCTGGGACTACAGGCGCCCGCCACCTCGCCCGGCTAGATTTTTGTATTTTTTAGTAGAGATGGGGTTTCACCGTGCTAGCCAGGATGGTCTCGATCTCCTGACCTCATGATCCGCCCGTCTCGGCCTCCCAAAGTGCTGGGATTACAGGCGTGAGCCACCGCGCCCGGCAAAACCAGTTTTAAAATGAGCCATTACCCTAAAACAGTGTTCTCTCCCTACAAATGAAATCATTTTATCTTTCCTCTCATCCGTTGTGCTCTTGGTAAAGCTTTGAAATTTTGTCCAGAATTCCCTGAATCTTTTATTCTGAGAGTCAGCCTTTTTCCTGCTGTATTGGTCTGCTTTCCAGGGATAGCACCTTCTGTCCCTGGAGTTGGTCCAGTTACTTGTTTGCTTTCTCTTGGTCACAAAGCCTCCCTCCCTCCCTCCAGGCACTGATCTGCAGTTTTTCCTTCAAGCCCTGAGGGCGTCTGTCCTGTGTTCCCTCTCATTTGTGGTATTTGTGTGACTCTTTTGAGTGATGGTTCACTTTGCCCAGACTCTCCCTAGGCGCTGGCATGGGCACTGCAGCCTCCCTCCCCCTAATGCGTTCCTTTTCAGTTGCCAGATGTCCTCAGTCTCTGTGGCTTCTGCATTCCGGTCCCTTCCTCTTAGAGGAGCTCCCTTCTAACAGCAGGCTCCTGCTGTTCAGTTCATCTGAAAAGAAGGAATTGCTAGTGCACATAGGTGATGGCGTTTCAGGGGGCGGGGGATGCACATCAGATAGGAAACATAGAGAATTTAATGACAGGACAGATGGGTCCGGGCATGCTGGAATTCTTTGACAGGTTTTTTTGTATAACCATTTGAATTTTTACAAGTGGGAAAGGGGTCTTTGGAGAAGGTTTCTACTCAAGTTTATATTTTTATAATCTGTATGTTCGATGCAATATTAAATATAATAGCCAATCTGACCAACTTTCCATAGCCCTTGCTTTCATACAGTGATGGTAATAGTAGTTATTTACCTTGGATTCGTAGATCTGCCTCACAGTAAAAATAGCTGGAAAAATGTGTGGAAACGTATAGGAGAATGTTATATTATTCACTGTGAATGAAATTTTTTGATTAATTAAAAGCCACCAAGTATAGAATTTAGGGATTACTTGTTTTCATATTTTAACACAATAAATTTCATTTTTATTTTAAATTATTTATTTCAACACAATAAAAAGTGCTCAGTGGTGAAAATGAAGGAAAGATTAACTTTTATATCAGTATGATTGAGAAAACATTTCAGGATCTAGGAATAATCCTTGATTTACAATACAAGCATCAACAACTCTTGCCCTGGCGAAATACAGAAGGAGGCCAGGGTTCTTTTGGTAGAAATTCTACCGACTGATAGAATTTCATAGAAGTATTTTTCAATTTATATTATTGCGACACTATGAGATAGAATTCATCTACAGATTATAGTGAGAACAAGCATAAAATTTCCTCTCAGACCATGACCCTATCTCATATATCTAAAGTAAAAGAACGTGCCAGGCACGGTGGCTCACGCCTATAATCCCAGCACTTTGGGAGGCCGAGGTGGGTGGATCACGAGGTCAGGAGTTAAAGACCAGCCTGGCCAAGATGGTGAAACCCTTTCTCTACTAAAAATGCAAAAAAAAATAGCCAGGTGTGGTGGCAGTCACCTGTAATCCCAGCTACTCGGGAGGCTGAGGCAGAGAAATGCTTGAACCCAGGAGGCAGAGGTTGCAGTGAGCCACAATTGCACCACTGCACTCCATCCAGCCTGGGTGACAGAGCGAGACTCCATCTCAAAAAAAAGAAGAATGTGACTGGGGCAGCCGGTGCTGTCAATGGAAAGAGGCAACCACGTGATATAAAGACTTAAGCAATCTCATAATAAGAAAGGATGAACCTTGAAGTGTGTTGACAGGTCTTGGTGTCAGCAGAAAGAATTCTCTGAGGAACAAAAGGATTCTTCTGTGTTTGTTAGAGAGACTGAAGAAAACAAGCAAGAAATAGCGCTATATCCTGGAGGCAGAAAATGTATAATTGATGACAGCAGAAATAATAGAACAAATATTTTAGGCTCTATTTCAGAAGGATTGAGAAAAAATAATTAGTAAATTGCAAAGAGAAGGTGGAAAGAAAATATTTCAGAAGGGATGGCAAATAAAAGAAAGTATGTGACAGGTTTACTTTTCTTCCAAAGAAAAATAATAAATATATATATAAAGAGTTCAGGGAGACACAGCAAGTCACCTTTATCTGTGTGTATTTTTAAATTTAGGAATTAAACTGAGAACCACATACCTATAAGCTTATCTCCTAAATTGGAAAAAAAAAAAAAAAAAACCTATGTATGATCTTTGATCAGGGATTAAGCTAGAACACTTGGAAACATACAAATTGGATAGAGATAGATTTACAGAAAGGCAGCTGGGCTTAACCAGCATGATTAATTTCTTTGAATCACTGACAATGAACCCACTGGGTGAAGCAATGGACGTAATTTACTT